TTAAGCTCATTAATTGTTGTTTATGATATATTTTTCTTGGATAATGTTATATTGTAATAGTGTATACATGAATGAATTTATGAACATTAACATGATTTATCTTTAACAAAGATATTATAGTGGACCATTACGAGATTTCTCATAACATGTCATATTAAGTAAGAAGTAATATTGTGATACATGGAAGGAATATGTTGAGATAATGATATACAACCCCTATTATCCTTATTAATTTTTATTTAATGGTCATTTATGATTTGACCAATATCAAAAAAATATAATTTATGATATGCACATTATATTTTACTGTTAGACCATAAAGTTATATGACATCACATGGACCAATTGAGAGAATGTTAATTAGTATTTTATAACTCATATGAAGAAGTGTTAAATTACTATTAATCTATTTTTACACTTTGATGGAAAAGTGTATGTACATAAAAATAATGACAATTATGTGACAATCGAACGACAATTAAGTCCTTCTACCTATTAGAATCTTCTTTTCTGTCCATCATGAAAAGATATGATACTTTACGAAAGGACATAAATGGCCCTATAAATAGGAGGTCAAGTGGAACATAGAAGTTGTTGGGAAAAAAATTGACAAAACTTCTAGAGGATTAGAAGGGAGAAACTTGATTGTTTCACATATTTTATATTCAATCAGTTCTTTCTGAAGAATCAATCATCAATTAAGATTATTGTGCTCAAACAATTTTTCTAAAACAATTATACATCAAGATATGTTTTTTCTTTCCAATCAAGTAAAGTAAAATCATATAGTTCAAAAATCATTTACACATTAAAGTTTATACAAAATTACAGTTTTATATTCATAATAAACGAAAAAATTCTAACACAAATCTCATACGATAAGATTTTTCGTTTTAGGATTATGAGGATATTTTGTTTTAGGATAACCAATGTGTCTAACTTTGTGATAGCTATATGCTTATCTTTTAAATGGAGTGAAAGATTAAAAATCATACCATGTGTTAGAGGAACAAAATATAGGAAAGGTTCATAATAATAATTTGTGAGGCAAAAAAAGAGATCAACACCAACATATAAGGAATGAAGGATAAGGATGAATTTAAATTTTAAATTGGGACAATGGATAGATTGGATTACAAGGACCATGAAGAAGATTAAAGTATGACATTACTATCTTTATATAGTGGAATAAATAGGTATATTGGTAGAAGGATTTTGAAGTAGTTAAGTGTTCAAGTTCTAAATAGTGTCAACAAGACCTGAGAGATAGATGGGGAATTTGACTAAAAGATAAGGATAAGAGACTCATATTGATATGAAGGTGATGTAAGCACGGATAGGCCAAAATAAATCCTAGAAACATAATCCTATGAGAAGCAAGAATCCTGTAAAAAACCAACATCCAACGGGATAATTGTTTGTGAGCTCACATCCGCACGAAAAATAGGTCGTGCACATGCAACACAATAGCTGTGTGAGTGCAAGCATGAAGTCACCCTGCACATGCACTGTACAACTCATAGACACACCATTGCACGTATGTTAGATTCACGAGAAAAAAAGAATTGCCCGCGGGAAGGGGGAATCTTCTTCCCATAAGGACTCTCACGAGTTCGTTATGATGAAGCCCAAAGATTTCAGCCTAAGCCATTCCTCTGTCAACCCAACACCAAAACTGGTTTTAGACTTATTGAGAAAATTGGGCCAAGGGATTTGAAAGAAATGTGCAACGTCTTTTAGGCTCAAATCCAAAAATATGGCTTAAATACCATCAATGGGATCCAAACCACTTGGCCAAGGGTGATCCAAAGAAGAGAGGTTTTGGTTAGCCCATGAAGGACCTAAATTTAGCCTTTTTTGTCATGGAGGGTCACGACAAACACATGTCACGCATATGAGCAACTTAGCTCTCATGTGCAGGCTAGGGCATTTGGGAGGAATGAAACCTACACATACAGGATCCTCCCGTCCATGAGAAGCATCCTCACACACCTTTCCTCCTATCAAGTCAGCATAAAAGTCCTTTTAAGACAAGAAGATGCAACATTAATAAGATAAAGAATAAGAAGAATCCAAAGAAGAGTCCAAAGGCTCACCCATATCTTAATTTTCAATTTAATTAAGATATATTTGTTTCTTTTAATTGTTATTTTAATTCTGTTTTAGATAAAAGATAACTTAAGAGTTTAATTAGGATTTTAATTTTTTGAGTTTCATTTAAATTTATATAGTGAAAGTTTATAAATAGGCTACACCCTTCAGTTATAATGAGAAATTTTAGAATTATTAAAAATTCATATTATTTGCTTTTAAATTGTTGCTAATTGTGATTGAGTGTTCAATCAAATGATTTTTTCCAACTATTTTTTTGAGTCAAGGAATCAAATTGACTTATCAAGTAAGCTCATAACATCTTTTTCATTCTAATTTTATTCTCAATTACTTTAGTTTGTATTCACATGTTGAATGTAGGTTGAGTAGATAATATTTATTTAGAGATTTGAGATTTATAAATGCTAATGTTGTACGTGGGGTATTTGATTGCATTGATGATCCTGTGTTCTGCATCAAAATGACTATGGAAGGACTAGATTAATATTTTTATGGATAACCATAAATGACATGTCACTTGAAACCTTGATGCCTAGAGGTTAACACAACATGTACGCTTGTAAAAAAAAAAAAAAACCTTATCATCATATTGGACAAGTTTGGAGTAATAAATGTTTAATGATTTAATGCTCAAACATGTGACCCTCACGATGATGTGAATCACCAAGAGTTAAAGACATGCCAAGAAAAAGTGTTTAGTTATTAGTGGAGTAATTATCATCTGCATATCCTTCATGGTTACCAATATGGAAACAAAAAGGTCAATAGAAGAATAATATTAAAAAATAAAATGAGAGAGGTAATACATCGGAATAACATAAAATACACTTAGTAACCTTCAATACTAGGAGATATATGATTTGGCATATTTTTTTACAATAAATGATATGTATGACCTTATAAAGGTTAAATAATTTAATACACTAAATAATTGACAATATCATCATCATATAACTTTTAGTGAGGAAGTAAGGAAGCCATTTGAGTGACGTATTACTCAAATTCTAACATGTTTTTACTGATGCAAGAGATCAAAACTATACCTATATTGAGTAAACTTGAGATTAGTTTTCAAATAATGAAGTTCAAGACTCAAAGATAAGAAAGGATCTTAATGTTTCCTAATAAATTTGAATTTCATAGGGAACATGAATTGATTAACTCAATAAAGAGAGGTTTTTTATCACTAGAATGTCTTTAATAGTTAATTATGCTATTTTAGGTCATTGTTTACCTTGACATGTGGAAAGCTATTTGTATAAGAAAGCTGAAAAGTTGAGACTGTTAAAAAAATTAGAGAGCTAATGAAACTAGGTCACACATGCTGTAACTTACAATCATAATTAGGATATTCAAGGTTAAGGAATACTTGCAGTTACAACATATAAACTTTTTAAGTAAAAAATCCATCAAAAAGGTATTTAATATACCAAGCTACAAAAAGACAAACCTTGAAATGCCATAAGAGATAAATATCATATTATTACATATTTTCTTTATGGGATTGAATGATTTGGAGAAATTAGCTCTCTTTTATGTATCCTTTAGTCATAAAGAATGCCATCAGAATAGTCAATTTTACCATTTGATATTTTCTTTTTGTTCAAAACACTATGATATTGTTGACTATATTTTTAGCACTGGGAGAGAGAACCAAATTTTACTATGGTTGTTAATGAGAACTTGAATCTCATAAAAGACCGCTTATAATATCTTTTGACTTTATAATATGAGGATGATTCTATTTTAAGATAATCAACTTTGACAGATAACTATGCTTAGTTTTTAAAGACAATGGAAGGCCAACAAAACATATTATACGTTGAGGAATAAGAGCTATCAAATCTAATGATGGTAAATTTTTAGAGAATACTCACGATGTTGACAGAGATTAAAACTTACAGATGATGAGCAAGTAATTAAGATTGCTTTAAATTTTAAATAAGGACAAACAGAAGACTTGATGGTGAAGATGTTACAAAAGGAGATTGAAGCATGAAATTTAAAGAGATTAAGAAATGAAACATGTGGATATATATATATTTATATTCATATATATGTTACAGATATAGAGGAATTTGAGATGGTTGCATTTTTTATTTTGAAGATAATGTTAACGAGGTTTATGATAGATGAGGAAATAACTTGAGCAGGAGATAAAGATAAAACATAAATTATCTAGAGTAAATGTGAGAAAAGCCAAATAGAACTTAGTGTCCTTAACTAAAACGAGACCTAATGATCAAAAGTAAAACTTATCTTACTAATTGTTACTTTTTGCCTATACTTAATGTGTTCTTATTAAAATCCATTATACTCACAAGTTGAGAACATAAAAAAAAAAAGCTCACACGAATTGGAGTATACATTTATTTAAGGGCCTAAATGTTAAATTAGCCTATATATTGATTTTAAATATTCGAATTGGTTCATATATAAATTTTTTGCTCTTTTGGTCTACCTGTTGGTCCATATCTATTAAATATCACTAATTTCATTAGTGGGCTTGCCATGTGACAGAAAGCTATATACATGTTTGTTTTTAGTTGGGTAAATTTTTATGTTAAATATCACATGACATCTTATGTATAAGAAGTAAATTAATTTTTAATTTTTTCAGTAAAAATTAAAAACTTAAGAAATTAAAACATAAAAAAATTGCCAAAAATAATAAAAAATTTAGTGTATGAACTAATTTAAATTCTTATAAAAAATAAATGAACTAATTTAGTATTTTATTTTTTTTAAGGAGTAGGAAGATATGGGGGGAATATTTTTGGGGAAGTATAGAAAAATAGTAAAGTACAGGGAGTTTATTTTAGAAATATTAATTTAAAATCAACAACTATCCTTCTGTCCCTTTTCTAGGTGTTCTTAGAATATCCACAAGCACCCAATGAAATGTGAATCCAACAAACCAGCCCCTTAACCTCCATCTCTATCTCCGCTTTCTTCAACTTTCCCATTTAAACATCCTCCATTACCCGACAAAATTTGCAGAATCAAAGAAGCCGATACATATATATATTCATTTCATTTTTTTTAAAGAATCCTCATTCCGAAAATTTTTGAAATAAAAAATATCAAAAGACGAACTCTCTCTCAGTCTCTCTCTTTCTTTCTCTCTACTAAAAAGCATCTGCTCCCACACTGTACACTGTTCTCGCTGCTTGCTCTCTCTCTCTCTCTCTCTCTCTCTCTCTCTCTCTCTCTCTCTGAGTTTCACTCTGATTTCTCCTCGTATCATCTCTATAGCTTCCTAGACTGAGGTTTAAGGTTTTATAATTATAATGTGAAACCCTAGCTAGAGAATTTTAGTTAGGGTTTTGCAGAGATCCATTGAAAACCAAATTGCTGTTTAGTCGAGATGGGGAACTGTTGCAGATCTCCGGCTGCTGTTGCCAGAGAGGATGTGAAATCAAACTTCTCAGGTCACGATCACGGCAGGAGAGACTCCGGCGCGGGTAAGAAGGCACCGATCACGGTCCTCAATGGTGTTCCCAAGGAAAACATTGAAGAGAAGTACCTGGTGGACCGTGAGCTCGGTCGGGGCGAGTTCGGGGTCACTTACCTATGTATCGACCGTGCCTCGCGGGAATTACTGGCCTGCAAGTCGATCTCAAAGAGGAAGCTGAGAACCGCTGTGGACATTGAGGATGTGAGAAGGGAGGTGGCAATAATGAAGCATTTGCCGAGGAACTCCAGCATTGTGAGCTTGAAGGAGGCTTGCGAGGATGACAATGCAGTGCATTTGGTGATGGAGCTATGTGAGGGAGGCGAGCTCTTTGATCGGATTGTGGCCAGGGGCCACTACACGGAACGAGCGGCCGCGGCGGTGACCAGAACTATTGTGGAGGTCGTGCAGCTTTGCCATAAGCATGGCGTGATTCACAGGGACTTGAAGCCTGAGAATTTTCTGTTTGCCAACAAGAAGGAAAACTCGCCTTTGAAGGCTATTGATTTCGGCTTGTCTATATTCTTCAAGCCAGGTGAGGTGGTACTTGAATTTTAGGCATTCTTCAGGTTTCTTGTCCTCGTACACTCTTTAATCTTATAAGGCTCAGTTTCACGGTAGAAAATTCAGTTTGTCCTTTATACATCATTCCAATATATTTTGATATACCCTCTCCAGTAAGTTCCTATTGGCTTCTAGATTTACAGTAGAATCTGTTTATTATTTATTTATATTCAGCTTAGGCTTGTTATTTTTGAAACGAGGAAAGGTGAACATGATGTAAGGTGACATTGTTGCTTATGTTTCTTTGTGTTTGATTTTTGTTGTCGGGTTTTATTTGTTTGGTTATCTTTTTAATTTATATCTTTTTGTATCTACGTAGAAATTCAGTTTGTGCTTCATACATCATTCCAGTATAATGATATATCCTTCGCCAACTTGCTATTGGCTTCTAGACTTACAGTAGAATCTGTTTGTTATTTATTTATATTCAGCTTAGACTTGTCATTTTTGAAATGAGGAAAGGTGAACGGATGTAAGGTGACATTGTTGCTTCTGTTTCTTTGTGATTGATTGTTGTTGTCTGTGGTTTTATTTGTTTGATTATCTTTTTAGTTTACATATTTTCAAATATATGTTCAAATTTCAGAGAGTGTCAGTGTTAATAGGTCTTAAAGTTATTAGGTGCTAAGCTGGGATGTTTAGAGTCCAAAAATTGCAGTTCAAGAGTGATTTAGGAAAATTCTTAAAAAAAAAGTGATTTGGGTGCATACAATTCAAGAGAGGATGAAATGAAGCTGAACAAAGTAGGAGAGTAAAATTAACATTTAGAGCACCAGTCTTTTAGTTGTCTTGTGTAATTGTAATTGAGTTTGAATATCTAGCCGTACATAATTGTAATTGTAACAATCAAATGGTGTTCTTCGATCAACGTGAAATCCTTTGGTTGCTTCATCTATCTTGGAGTAACTTATTAACTTTGTGTGTGATGCAACTTGTATCCCTTCTAATTATTCAAGGGCTCCTGATTGGAAAAGATTTCATTGGTTTCATTTGGATGTTTCCATTGGCTGTAACATCCATTCTCATTTATAGTTTGTAGATATCTCCTGATTCAATGACCATGGGTTTGGCATGGTATAACAGCCTGTGCTTTATGAAGTTGTTGTTGTTTTCGTAGCCAAAACATTTCATGGTAGATGTTATACTGTAGGTAGATTGCCTTCTTCAACTACTCTTTTTGGGCGATTGATGTGAACATTTAATGGGATTCTTTGCAGAAGTATGGATTCCCTGGTTGTGGACCACCTTGTTGCTTTCCTAGTTATCTGTAGTTTGTAGATATTTTTTGATACCTAGATAGTGAGAAGCTGAACTTTGGAGAAGATGTAGGCTTGAGGAAATCATGTTCACTTGCCTTGAGAATGGTTCATTAGGCCTTTTTCCCTCCTTTCTTTTCCTTTCATACATGCATTGCTGATTTGTACTTTCTCTCCTGATGCTTAAGTAATTTAAAAATTTTCAGGTGAGAGATTCTCTGAGATTGTTGGAAGTCCGTATTACATGGCTCCTGAGGTGCTAAAGCGAAATTATGGGCCAGAAATAGATATCTGGAGTGCAGGAGTTATTCTTTATATTTTGTTGTGTGGAGTTCCACCATTTTGGGCTGGTAAGCAGATTTATTCTCGCTTCTCTTTATCTCTGTGTCTCCCCTGTGTGCATGCACAATGGATATGGAGTTGAGAGCATGCATGCGCAATCTGAAGTGTTAACTTCTTTTTGTTTTTTTGTTTTTTGTTTTTTTGCAAACAAAAGTTCAGCAATTAATCCTTTTAAGCTAGTTAGGTATTTCCTCATGTTTTAACATAGTTGTTTTTTCAATGCAGAATCTGAACAAGGGGTTGCACAGGCCATTCTTCGTGGATTGATCGATTTTAAACGTGATCCATGGCCAAATATTTCAGAGAGTGCCAAGAATTTAGTTAGACAAATGTTGGAACCAGACCCAAAGCTTCGACTAACCGCGAAGCAAGTACTTGGTATTTTACATATCTTTCCTGCTGCTTTGCATTTTACTTGGTGTTTGAGTTCATGTGCATTACTTTTATCTTTTGCTGCTATTGGTAGATGGGTGTAGCATTGAGGTAGAATGGTAATAATTGTGGTTTTTCTTCGGTTGAGGCCCATTATTAATATTTTTCAGTGGGATGATAAGTTTGTTGTCTGGTACAGCTGTATTTAGGTTTCTTTGCTGCCCCATTTCGTTCAATTCTTATTTAATTCCTGTTGTATTCACTTAAATACTAGATAAAGGAAGAAAATAACCGGACAATGGAGGGATTATCATGAGGGTTGTGTGCTGGAATGTCAATGGGCAAGGTAGTGTGCTCAAGAGGAAAAAAATAAAAGAGATTTTGGGGAGAGCTAGTGCCAAATGCGGTTATGATTCAGTATACAAAAAAAAGTGATTGATAGGGTGTTTATTTGTAGCACTTAGGATAGTCATTTCAGGGATTGGGTAGCTATCCCCTTCTTTGGTGCTTTTGGGGGGATCTTGATCATTTGGGACACTAAATACGCCACGAAAGTTGACTTGATTGAGATGACCTACTTACTTTCAGTGCTATTGGACATTAAAGGCAAGGGTTCCTGGTGGTTTTGAGTGTACACGAACCCACTGGACATAGAACCAGGTCCTTTTTCAGGAGGAACTGTATTACTTAGCAGACTTATATAACCCTTCCTGGTGTATTGGATGAGATTTTAATGCATGTTGGTTTCAAGAGAAAGTTGGGGGAGGGCCTATCAGGTTGTTTGGAAGTTGGAAAAGAATGGAAAATTCACTGTTTCTTCTTATTACAATTATTTTATGTGATATGGGAGCTGTGAATAGACTGGTATTTCCAGCAAAGCTAATCTGGAAGACCAAAATTCCACCTAGAATTGCTTTTTTTGCGTGGGAGGCGTGCTGGGAAAGAATTTTAACTATGGACAGTTTGAAAATCATGGGCAGAATCATTGTTAACAGGTGTTACTGCTGTCTTAAGCCTGGGGAGACGTGTAACTACCTACTGTTATGGTGTCCCACTGCATATAATTTATGGTGTACGATTTATGGTTTATTAGGAATTAACTAGGTCATTTCGGGTTCGGTCGAACGGGAAATTTGGGCGTGGGATGGTTTCTATGTAAAAAGAATATGAAAAACATTATTTCTTTGATTTTTTTTTTGGGTCATTTGGAAAGAGAAAAATAAGAGAACTTTTGATAGTGTTGAAAGTAGTATTAATAGACTAATAGATAGGTGGATATATTTATTCAGGTTGATTATGCTTAGTCATGATATCACTAGTGACGTGGATTTTGGGGATATCATTAACATATTAACTTCTATGTAAATGCTTTTGTACATGGGTGGTACCCTTGTCCTTTTGGTACCATTATTAATACATATTTTACACTTTTTATTTCAAAAAAAAAGAGAAAGTTGGGGGAGGAGGGGAGGAAGTAGGATGGCCACGTTTACGAAAACTTTTAACACTTTCATCAAGGAGTGTGGGCTAAGGGATTTACCTTTTGACAATTGTCAATTGCCTGGTTTATTGATAGATAGGGAATTGTTTCCTTGCACTTGGATCATTTCGTAATTTCCCAAAATGGGAAGACAACTTCCTCGATTTGGTACAGGAAGTGCTATCGCGACTTGTTTCTTATCATTTTCCTATTCTTCTTGAATCACAGCGAATCAAATGAGGGCCAACCCCTTTTTGGTTCAAAAATTTGTAGTTACAACACCCGAGCTTCAAAGAGGTGGCGAAAGAAGGTTGGAAGGATGAGAATGGATCAAGTTAGGAAGGGTTTAGCTTCATGCATAAATTAAATTTCAGTCTTCAGCTCTGCCCCTCATAGATGAGCACCATGTCAAGCTCGTTCTTAAGGTCTAATGATCCCCTTTTATTTATCCTCAGAGATGATACCTTCTACTACCAATTTGTCAAAGGTTTTCATCTCCTCCAACATACCTGCCTTCTTCAATGGGTTAGGGAAGGAGATGCTAACACTTGCCTATTCCATAGAGTGGTAATTAGGCGAAGAAGGAAGAGCACCATTAAGGAATTAGCACTTGATAATGGAATTGTGAAGAGAATCAGTGAGGGTATTGGGAGGGCGATCGCTCGATATTTCCAGGTGCTCTGCGCAGAAGAAGATAAGCATAGACCTTTCATTTTTGAGAGGTTAGAGAGACCATTTGAGGAAGAAGAAATTAGGAAAGTTGTTTGAGAGTTAGATAATGGCAAGGCACTTGGTTTAGGTAGGTCCAGCCTAGAGTTCTTCAAGGAGTGTTGGGATGGGATCAATGTGGACTCATCTAGAGTTTATGAGGAGTTCTTTCACTGGTGGTAAAATATGGAAAGAGCA